CTCACAGAAAATACTCATGATGAAGGGAGTTTATCTAGGGAACTTAACAGATTTCCACTGATCAGGACCAGTAAATAGTAAGAATACAGTAATTGATCCCCAATAACACCTCTCTGTGTCCAGCCACCAAGTCTTTTTCTGGTTTTCAGCCTCTCAGCCACGTGGTTCCTTGGCCTTTGCCTACATGGACAAGGAAGTCTGCCTGTCACTCTGTCTCATAATCTCAGGCCAGATGAGAAGAAGGTACCACTTAGTCTGGGATCTGTACCTTTCATCCTCGTCATATATATATTTACATCTGTATATGCCTGTATTTAGATCTCTATAAGTGCCCTTTGACTCCTAGTTCTTTCCTTTATTTCTTTGTACTTTCCTCTCGTCCCACTATCATGTTCAACCTTCATTTGGGTTTCAGGAATTCCTCTCGGTTACATTGTCCTTGATCCAGCCCTGCCAAGCTTCCTACAGCCCCCCTTGTCACTTATTTTGGATCACTTGTTGTTCCCTTGTCCCTGGGTTTGTTAACACCCACTTCCTTCCCTGCCACCCCCACCTCCCCTTCTCCCATGTCCCCCTGGAACTGTCATTCTGTTGTTCTCTTCCGGTTTGTTTATCCTGCCTATCCCTTCCAGGTAGACATGCAGCGGCAACAATATGCACTATCACAAGACCGAGTACAATGAAGCAACAATAGAAAATAAAACAATAGCTACAACAACAACAATAACAAAAAGCCCCTATAATTAGTTCAGGGTCTATTGGTTGTCCTTTATGAGTGCTTTCCAGTCGAGTCTGATGGGGTGCCATCCCCTGGCCCCATATCTATCTCTGGGAACTTGATTGTTCTGCTCCCCCCACTGCTCTGCTGCATGCCCCCAGTGGCTGGCTTCAGAGTAGTGGGCTCATGGTGGGCACAGTTCCCGTCGTGTGTCTCTAGTGTTGTCCCCCATGGTGCTATGGGTCAGTGAGGGACATTGTGTCCTGTGGTGGGGCCGGGCCTGTGGTTGTCTCTGTGCATAGCTGCTCTGAGCAGAAACATTTTCCTCAGGGTTTGATGAGCCAGGTTGTGCTTCACTCTTTTTTTTCACCTTCCTCCCTGGTTGGCTCCTGTGTGCTCTCATGAGACAAGTCCATCACCTTGAGCTGTAGCATCAGTGCTGTCCTCTGGGTGCACATGTAAATGTGGTGAAGAAAGCTGATGGTGCCTGGGTATCAAATAATATAAAGGCTTGAAGATAAACAAGTGGCCATCTAGCTGAGAAATAAAAAACCCGCATGGAAGAATCACACCAACCTGTCCCGACTCAATTGCTGAAGACAAAGCAGGTGCATAAGCGAATGTGTTGAAGAAAGCTGATGGTGCCCGGCTATCAAAAGATATAGCATCTGGGGTCCTAAAGGCTTGAAGATAAACAGGCAGGCATATAGCTGAGAAACAACAAAGCCCACATGGAAGAAGAACACCAGCCTATCCAGACACAATCACTGAAGACAAAGCGGGTGCATAAGCAAATGTGGTGAAGAAAACTGATGGTGCCCAGCTATCAAAAGATACAGAGCCTGGGGTCCTATAGGCTGGAAGATAAAGTGGCCATCTAACTGAGAAACATATGGATGGAGTGGCCTTGTATGGTCCTCCAGGCCAAATTATCCAAATATTATATATGTCCTAGAGCATTAAAAAAAACCTCAAAAAAGTTTCCAAGAACACTGGGATAATGAACAAATCAAACATGGCTGACAATTAGGCTAACCATAAAATAGAAAGTAAGTTTAGGTTATATGACTTCCCATCAAATTTTGACACATCAGGAATGATCTGAGAAAAGCCTTTTTATTGTGACCATCTGGCTTGTTAAATCCAATACGCCCTTTACCTGTAAGCCAGACTGTTCAGAGAATAAATTATATTTTGTATCCATGAATTAATTTTTTCCATGGCAAGAAACCTAACTCTTTGTTAATAATGTTTATGATTAATACAATATATACAGTAAACATTAAATTAATGAAACTTTTAGTCAGATGGGTAAAGTTTTGGTTATTTCAAATACTTTTATCATTAATGAGTTCTTCAACAATTGTTCTAATATATCTCTTATGATAACACTTCAAAATTAGGAAGAAGTGAACACATTATTTAGCAGATATCCTTTCAAAAATGGGAAGTTTTAATTACAGTAAACATCTATTAACTCAACTTTAATATCAGCATATCACTTAAAAGGTCTTATAATTAGTACTAAAATATACTAATGAAATAAGATTTAATTATATTAAAATATTCTTCTTATTATTTTATCCATACTAATCTTTCTTAGATTCTTTAAAATATTTAAAACTTGACTTAAAAATTAAAAACAGCTGGTTATCAAGTCAATTCTGACTCATTGCTACTTCATAGAATACAGCAGAAGATGCTTCCCTGGGTTTATTTATTTATTTAAATATATTTTAGTATTTTCCCTTTTGTTTCTGGAATATAACAGTTACACAGAAAAACATATTCTATTCAGGTGCACACCCCATCTCACAAATCAGTAAAGTATCCTATTAACCTGTGCCCATTTATTTATTTATTTTTAAAATCATTTTATTTGAGGATCATACAACTCTTATCACAATCCATCCATCCATCTATTTTGTCAAGCACATTTGTACATTTGCTGCCATCATCGTTTTCAAAACATTTCTTTCTACTGGAGCCCTTGGTATCAGCTCATCATTTTTTCTCCTCCCTCCCCCACCCTCCCTCACGAACCCTTGACAATTTATAAATGATTTTTATTTATTCATGTCTTACACTGACTGATATCTCCCTTCACCCATTTTCCTACTGTCCATCGCCCGTTGAGGGGGTTATATGTAGATCATTGTGATCGGTTCCCCCTTTCTCTCCCCACCTTTCCTTTACCCTCCTGGTATCACTACTCTCATTATTGGTCCTGAGGGGTTTATCTGTCCTGGATTCTCTGTGTTTCCAGCTCTTATCCGTACCAATTTGCATCTTCTCATCTAGCCAGATTTGTAAGGTAGAATTGGGATCATGATAATGGGGGTGGGGGGAAGAAGCATTAAAGAACTAGCGGAAAGCTGTATGTTTCCTTGATGCTATACTGCACCCTATCTGGCCCACCTTCTACCTGCAACCCTTCTGTAAGGGGATGTCCAATTGTCTACAGATGGGTTTGGGGTCTCCCCTCCACTCTCCTCCTCATTCACAATGATATGATTTTTTTGTCCTTTAATGCCTGTACCTGATCCTATCGACACCTCGTGATCACATAGGCTGATGTGCTTCTTCCATGTGGGCTTTGTTGCTTCTCAGCTAGATGGCTGCTTGTTTATTTTCAAGCCTTTAAGACCCCAGACACTGTATCTTTTGATAGCCAGGCACCATCAGCTTTATTCATCACATTTGCTTATGCACCCATTTTGTCTTCAGTGATCGTGTCGTGAAGGTGAGCACCATGGAAGGTCAGTTAATAGAACAAAGTGTTCTTGCATTGAGGGAGTACTTGAGTAGAGGCCCAATGTCAATGCATCATGGAAGGTCAGTTAATAGAGCAAAGTGTTCTTGCGTTGAGGGAGTACTTGAGTAGAGGCACAATGTCCACCTTAATACTATACCAATAAATATATATACATAGATCTATTTCCCCATCATCATATATAAATATATTTACATATATTCATGCCTGTATTTAGACCTCTCCAAATGCCCTTTGCCTCCTAGTTCTTCCCTGTATTTTCTTTTCCTTTCCTCTTGTCTCACTATCATGGTCAGCCTTCATTTGGGTTTCAGTAATTCCTCTCAGTTACATTGCCCTTGATCAAGCCCTACCAGGCCTTCTACACCCTCCTCACCATCGATTTTGGATCACTTGTTGTTCCCTTGTCCCTGGGGTTGTTAACACCCACTTCCTTTCCCTCACCTCCACTCTCCCATGTCCCCCTGGAAGAGTCGGTCCCATTGTTTTGTTGTTTTCTCCTCCAGATTGTTTATCCCACCTCTCTTATCTAGACAGACCTGCCGAGATAATAATATGCACAAAGCACAAGACAGAACAAATCAAAGCAACAAAACAACAACACAAAAAACCAACGACAAAAAAAGCCTATAAATAGTTCAAGGTCTGTTTGTTAACCTTTAGGAGTGTTTTCCATTCGAGGTTGATGGGGTGCCATGCCCTGGCCCCAAAGTCTATTTTTGGTATTCTCTCAGGACTTCCTTGCTCTGTTACCCTTGATGTTCTGTTGCACATCCTTAGTGTTTAGCCTAGGTGTGGTGGGGTCAGATCAGGCACAAATCCTGCACTGTGTCTCCAGTGTTGTCCCACGTAGTTCTATGGGTCACTGAGGGATGTTGTGTCACGCAGTGGGACTGGCCCTATGGTCCTCTGTGTGCATTGACTGCTCTGAGCAGGAATATAGGCCTCAGGGCTTCTTGGGCTTCCCCTAGGTTTTTTGAGACAGTAAGAGTATATGTAAACCAAATGAGAGATAATTTTTGCAAATGGCCATTTGACTTGAACTGCCACATTTTGGCTAGCATCTCAACTCTTGAATCCCTGTACCACCTGAAAATTTCTACTTAGAATTAATTAATATTAACCCTCTTACACATCTGAACTAGCTCAGGCTGAGCAAAGTCGAAAAACTGAGGTTGCCTCAAAATATCCCCCCTTAAACACCATCTGTAATATCTAATTCAAGTCATTTGTAAAGGTGTAAATTCTAAGATTGATGCACACATACAAAAATGTGTTGAAATGAACCCTCTTAATAATAAACATTTTCACATAATGATTTCATTCCATTTACCCAAAATTCTGCAAAACAATTTGAAGTGTAAAATAGCAGGATGATTTAGAGAACCATGGAGAAGCATTTTTTCTCCCTTAATCCAGATTATACAAAGGCCAAACATTGTTATAGCAAAATACTCTAATTTTCTTAGTCATATGTTTATAAGCATAGGAAGAAAAACTGGATCCAGTGCATGAGTTTGGATTTGTGGCAGGTCTGATCCCATGGGCCTCTTATAGTGTCCCATGCCAAAGCAAACTGTCACCCCAAACCATTGCCTGGCTATACCTGGTAGGCATAAGGCACTGAAGTGGGTTGCAAAGTAAAAAAAGAAAAAAAAAAAGAAAGAAAAACTGGATCCAATCCTCCCCCCAACTACCAGGACCCCAATTTTGCCTTGCAGACCTGGTTAGACCAGATGATGCACAGCGGTACAGATGGGAATTGGAAACGCAGG